GCCCCCAGGCCCCTCCTGCCCGTCTGTCCTCCAAGCACAGATGTGTTCGTGGCACAGAGCGGCCCCCTCCCTGGCAGCCCCTCTGCCTGCGGCCCTATCGTCTTTGAGAAAGGCCTCACTTCCATCCAGGCTGCCCCCAGCAGAGGCAGCCTGGCCCTCCGGTGCCTGAGAGCGCAGGGCTCTGGAGCCACCGTCTGCTGTTTTCAGGACAGGGTTGTGGGTTCCTTTGTCCTTTTCTCTCCACTGCCGAGGTTTGGTAAAGCGACCCTGTAGCTATCAATTGGCAATATCGATTTATTGGAAAGCAAGGTAAGCTCTCTGAAGCTGTGGCTGCAAGTCTCACAAGTGGCCACCAGGTGTCAGGCTCGGGCCAAATTCGTCCCTCTCCGCTTTCCAGGTGGGGCGGGGCGGGGCTGCGAGGCGAGTTCAGAAGGAAATTCAGCCCACCTGGGTTCGTCCTGGGGACGCCGCCTCCGAAGGAACTGGGGTCCCGGCGGTCTGCCCCGGACCTCTCAGTCATAGAGCTGAGTTGATGTTCATGCAAATGTAATAGTTCCCTCTCTTAGAACAAAACAGATGCTCCAGAAAGGCGTCCCAGGCTCGTCGTGAGGCTCAGCCCCTAAGCTCTAGGATGCCCACCGGGCCACAGGCCCCCAGGTAGGAGACACCCAAAGGGAGGAATTCCCTCCGCGCCCCTGCCGGTTCTGTAACGCCCGGACAGAAGCAGACAACAGCCCCGGATCCAAGCACAAAGGTGTAGAACCCGTGACCCGCCCCCCCACAGTGCAGAGGGACCTCTCCTCTGTGGGAGGTGTCCTAACTTAGCCCCCAGAGTCCCCCTCCCAGAGTGCCCCCACTTGCAGCGCCCGAGACCTTTGGGTTATGCCGCTGTAATTCTAGGAATGACCGCCAGGTGTCAGCATAAGGCCACTTAAGAAGGTGAATGGCCAAAGCTTGGTATAGATTTCTGGGGGTTTCCAAGACCCTCACTCATCAAGGATCCAACAGGTCCCTAAGGTGGGCTGACCCTCTCCCAGGCCTAAGAGGCCGTGGCGCAGGGAGGTTTTGCCATGCTGTGTCCCTCACCCCTGCGCCCTAGTTTTTGGCTGTGGTGTGGTCCCTCTCACCTGCCTTCATAAGGCATGTGTCCCCGCACCCCTGCAGGGACAATCCATGGCGCATAGTGCTGTGGGGTCACAGCCCTCACAGCCTAACTCACGGACCCCCAATGCCTCTGGTCCTGCCTCTGGGCCCAGCGTCTGCCGAAAGATGCCAAAATGGTGCGAAGAGCGGCTGCCACAGCCCTCTGGGGACAGTTGTCTGGGACTTTCAAAGCTGCAGATGGACCTGGAGAGAGTGAAGGGTTGACCCCAAGCCAGATGCAATGATTCCAGGGAGACCCCCCCCAGGTGGAGGGTCCCCCGGCTCAGGAGGTGGCAGCAAAGGGGCTGAAGTGGCTTAGCGGCTCCCTGGGGGCCCTTTCTGTCCTGACCCCGTCTCCCTGCTCCCCTTCTCCTGCTTGCACACCCTGGGTTCCAAGAGCCTGATGGGAGGAAACCAGGATCTCGATGAAATCAGGCCTGGAGCGAGCTCCTCTGCGCGCATCATCCCGGGGACGGCATTCCAGTACAGCGCACAGTTTGGAGGCAAGACACCATTTTGGGCCCGGGAGGCTCCGGCCTCCAGGAGTTTGACCTGTGGACTGCTCCCACTTCAGCCCCTTCGCTGCCGCCTCCTCAGCCAGGGGACCCTCCACCTGGGGGGGCCTCCCTGGAATCATTTCATCTGGCTTGGGGTCAGCCCTTCACTCTCTCCAGGTCCATCTGCGGCTTCGAAAGTCCCAGACAAGGGTCCCCAGAGGGCTTTGGCAGCCACTCTTGGCACCATTTTGGCATCTTTCGGCAGACGCTGGGCCCAGCACCTGCAGCAGGGTCCCTAAGCCACAGCTAGAGCCGGCAGGAGCGAGGGCGGCTCTCTGCCCTCACCCCGAGTCTTTGTCGTGCGCCTGCTCTTCTGCAGGCCTGAGGAAGGGGTGTCGAGTACGCAGTGAGGCTTGGACTAATCCAGAGGGTGAGTCTCTCTGAATGGCCCCCGAGCTGCTGCCCGCTCTGAGTCTGTGCTTTACCTGCAAAGACTGTGAACCTGTTCAGTGCTGAGGACCTCCCCACCCAAAAGCTGAGCGAAACATCCCATTTGCCCTCCTCCCGGGGCAGGGGACGTAGATCTGGGGCTTCTACATCTTATCCGAGACACCCCCAGACACACACCATATGGGAATCTTCTTCGCGGCTGATGCTCTTCCCGGCTGCAATCCTTGCTGTCCCCACGAGATGTCCTATTCCTCCCGCTAATGAAAGGGTTTAAGACGAGGGCTTGAAAGGAACAGGGAGAGGGGACCCTTCAGTCCCACACAGGCTAGTGTGCTGAGCACACAGAAGCGGCCGGGGTGCAGGGGCGCTGGGAGGGTGGGACTTGGGAAGCATCTTGGCCTCTTCGTCAGTTTGGTTTTGTGCCTGCTCTTCCTGCAGAAGACGTTAGAAACGAGCAGTGTGATTTAGTCCAATCTGGTGGGTGCTTCTATGTGAACCCTCACCCGGCGGCTGCCAGCTTGGAGTCTATGCTTTAACTGGAAGGGTCGTGAACCTGTCCAGTCACCCTACCCAGGGAAGCCCGCGAGCGTCACCTGCAGCCGTGCCGCCAGAGCTTAGTGTCACACATGGCATGTACCAGGGCAGATCAGATTGACCCATGGAGCGGGAAACCCCCAGCTGAGGCCTTGCCCGTGGAAGATGGAAGGGCATGACTGTGCAGTACATAGCTCTCCTGGGAGCACCTACAGCCCCGTCTTTCTGCTCATTCTTGAACCCCTGCATTTTCCACCCATCCCCCCATTTTATTAGTGCCACGTCCACCAACATTCCAGGGTGACTGGAATGTCCCAAATAACTGCAAGTGTTACTCCCCACTCCCCACCACCCCACATGACTCCCACCTCCCAGCTGGCAGGGAGCTTCTGGCTTATGCCCACAGCCATAGGTGCCTTTCTGCCAGGTCAGGGATGGGCCAAACCTCCATCCCCTAATGCACCATGTCCTGGTGTTGGAAAGTGCCACAGTCAGCTGCCCCAGCACTACCAGGTTGGCACAAAGTTCTCCAAGTTTGGAGGGGCTCGGGGAAAGGAGTGGAGGGGATGAGGAGGTGAGGGGCAACTCCATCATTTCCGTTGGCATTTGAGCAGGTGCTGTGCTTAGCGGAGGTGAGGCTACCCCGTCTCTAGGGCCACATTCACATGCTCGCTCCAAATGTGCCCTTCATCTCTCCAGCCTCAGCCTTGTCCCCCTCCTCCTCCTCCACGTCAACCAGGCTGGAGGGTCTGAATGCCAAACCCCCTGCTTTGGTGGCAACTGCTCATATTGGCCAGGCCAGCGGAGCTCCGTCCTGGCAGCTTCGGCAGACAGCCTTGGGCACCAGTGACTCCCGGTCCTTTTTACCCACTGTCCAGGAGCTGTGGGGACCCAGCAGCGGCTGGAGTCAGGTGACTAGGCTGCCAACCCTTGAGTGTGGGAGGAAAGCTGCATTTTGAGTGTTCGGGAGTGGGTGGGCTGGGAGCGTGGGGCCACTGCCAGGACCCTGGTTTCTGAAGGAGGGGAACCTCTGCTGCTGGGGTCCCGGCCAAGCTTCCTGAGAGCAGCCTCAACTTTGCAGGGAGCTGGAAAGGCCGTTGGGGAAGGGGTTCTTCTATAGGGTAGGGAAAACAGGTCTCCTGTACTAATGCACCAAGTGAAATGGGAGGGGTGGGGAGGAGGGTCGGAGGCTCTTCCCAGCAGGAGCACACAGCTGTTTTCGCAAGTGTGAAGGAAGAGTTTTTCTGTGAGCAAAGTTTCATCCCGCTGCACCCCCACCCCATTCCCAGAGACAAACAGGAGACTTGGCAGAGGAGCCAGGGCCGGGAATCCGGTGCAGGTATTTTATTTATACATATATACACACACCGCTGTAAGAGAAAGCTTCCCTCCCCCGCCTCCCGATGCCCTGGCCACCAGCAACAAGGTGGCCAGGAGACTGAGGAGGAAGGCGGGGAAGGGGCCACAGCGCCCCTCCAGGTCCCCTCCACGTCCCCTCCAGGTTTCTACAAAATGGAGCTTCCCCTCCTGAGGGCACCCTCCCAGCCTCCCCCGCACACAGAGGGGCCCTGGGAATGCTCATTCATGCATGAAGTTTTTCTCGATTGCACCCTGAACCCACACTCCTCAATCCACCCGGGGTGGTGTTTGTGGGGAGGGGGTTCCTTTCCCCAGGAAGCTCTGCTGCCCCCTCCCTGGCTGGCCCTGTCCTGCGGATTTTGCCCGAGGCCCCCTCCTTGTCTCCTTCCAAGGTGGGAGTGTTTGGGGGTGGAGGAGGAGGCTTTCGTATTCTGGGCTGTGGCCCCTCAGGGCGGGTCCTTCGTGTGTAGCCCTCTACCCCCAGTGCCAGGCAGAAGCCCACCCTGGCCCAGGAAGGGGGCAGCTTGTCCAGCAGAAAGGTCTCCGGCCTCTCCATCAGCACTGGGAAGCTTTTCCTAGGCAAAGTTCTCACCTCTTCCTCCCTTGTGCTCTGAAAAAGGGAGCTGTTGGCCGGGGAGGGGCTGGAGGGGAGCTGCTGCCCCAGTCGTGACCAGGTGAGCCTCGGGCAGCCAGGGGAGGGGATGGGACTGGCTCCCACTTGGTGTGTACGGGGTGGGGGGCTTTGAAAAGAGATCATCTCACGGACATCCTTCTGCTTTCCCCAGGGCGGAGGAGTTGCCACGGAGCTCGTGCAGTAGGAAGTGGATTCCAGCCCTCAGCCCCGGGGCTCCGAACCACTGCCAGCCCAGCCCGTGCCCAGCCTGCCCCACAGCCTGAGCCTGAGCAGGCCAGAGCAGCCAGAGTCCAGTCCTGAGGTGAGCTGCTGCGGCCTGTGGCCCAGACGAGCCCAGCACTCCCAGAACTGAGGCTGGCAGTCAGCCCCAGCCCCAACCCCAGAGAGGTGAGTGTCTCAGGCACCCTGAGGTGTGGCAGAGAAGGCAGCAGGCTCTGCAGGAGTCTTCGAACTGGGATCTCCCCCTTTTAGAAGCAGCTTCGGCTCAGAGAGGCTGGGGGAGGGTTCAGAGTCACACAGCTGCGATGGAGTTCCAGATGCTTCTCCCTAGGAGACAGACCAGGTGTGGGCAGAGCAGGTTCCAGCTCCGAGGTCCTGGCGAGGGAGCTCCTGGGAGAGGAAGGGCAGAGAAGGGGAGAAGGGCCGGGAAGGGGCAGGCAGCCCAAGAGGAAAAGGCAGGGGGGCAGAGAGTGGGGAGAAGAGGAGAAAGCGAAAATGTGTCATTTAGAAGAATCTGGAAACCCAAGGAAAGCTGGGCTCTGCTGGGGGCTGTGAGGCCCCCAAGTTCATTCTGCCCCAGGCTGCTGGCTGTGGGGTCTCACACCCATGGCCTGACCTTTCTGTGTTTGTCCGTTTGTCAAGGTGGGTGACAGTCTCAGGCCTCCTGGCTGTTCAGAATTGAGGCAATGCTGAGAGGCCTTCTGAGTGCAGCAAGGGGCTCTGGGGGCTGCGGATCCCACCGTGGTTGGGAGCCGACGGGGCTTCCTGTGTGTGAGGGGGTTGGCGGCTAGAAAGGCCTAGCCAGTGGCCTTGACTCAGCCGGAGGGAGCTCTGCGCTGTGGTGGCACCCCTATCACTGGTCAGGCACTGGGGTGACAGCATTGGAGGTGAGGGCATACAGCTCGCAGTCCCCGCACCTGCCCCATGACAGGGGCTGCCCTCAGGGCCTGTAGGCAGGGCCCCAGAAGCCAGGAGTATTCTTTCAAAGGTGTCTTTAGCTTGCTCGGACACTCGATAAAATAGTACCAGAGTGGCGGAGTCTCAGTCCTCTGGAGTGTGAACCGGCCGACCCTCCCCGAGGCCCCTCTGCCCAGCACCCCAACCTGGACCCGTATCCCCTGCGTACTTTCGGCTTTGGGTGGACTGATCAGCCTTCGGTGGTCTGTGCCATCTGGTGTGAAGGGTTCCGGTTCGGGTCCTCAGTCCCTGAGGCCGCTGTGGCGTGAGTGCGTCCTTCCCCAGCGAGCGAGCGGGCTGGGGCAAGTCAGCTCCTGGTCTGCGACGCCCTGCAGGGGTGAGGGAGGGGCGCTCTGGGGACCCTTGGAGAAAGGAGCTGGGTGTGTGAAATGCTGGGCTCCTTCCCAGGGACAGGGAAGTGGTTAGCTCAGAGCCGGGAGGACACGGAATGAGAAAGGCACATTGCAGAGCCGCCGGTGAGGGGACGCTGGGCATCACAGGCCAGGCTCCGCGGGGTGGGCCTGAGTCCTTGAGGGGATGTTCATTCTCTGTGGAACTTGGGTTTGCCAGCAGAGAGGAGACCAGCACTGCCCTGGGGAGGCAGTGGGTCAGGGCCCGGGAGGGTGCTGACTGGGGCTTCCTGCTGGCCACGCTCTGGACGGGAGGAGACCCCGGCCCCCTCAAAACACCCTTGGACTGCTGGCAGGACCCTTCCTACCTTGGGGGACAGGAAGCAAGAAGGGAGGAGCAGGCCTTGGGGAAGAACTGGATGCTGGTCTTGGCCAGGCACAGGCGGTGTGCTTTTTGAGCCCCAGGGTGACCTGGATCTGCCCCAGCCTCCAGCCTGCCGTGGTCAAACTTTTGACTAAATAAGGAGAGCACTCAGCAGGCAGCCCCACGGAGGAGGGGAGGCATGCAGGCCCCCCCCACACTCCCCCACCTGTCCCTCTCTCTCTACAGGGCCACCAAACTCTGCTGTGGGCACCCCAAGGTGACCTCAGCCTTCTTCCTACCTCAGAAAGTCCAAGCATGAGTGGTGGCTCCTTGGGGGCAGACAGAACAAAGGGAAGGGAGCCCCAAATGGGTCACTGGTTAATTGTCCCCAGGAACCCCCAAAGAGGAAGAGAGCCCACAACTCGGAACTGGGGCTCTCCCCCAGTGCCCCACCTGTCCCCAGCCTGGAAAGCAGGCCTGGAGGGGAAGAGGAGGGGAGCCCCAAGCTGGCCCTGAGAGCCCTGGGTTTGTCCCTGACAGAGAGCCTTGGTGCCCTAGACTGCTCTCCCAGAGACGGGGTTCACAGACAGGCATTTTTCAAAGGCTCCTCACCCGCAAATTCTCCAGTCACCCTGGAGAGGGAATCTCTGCTGGAGGCTCCCAGGCTATGCTATCGGCACAGTCTGAAAGGCCAGAGAGCTGGGGGTGGGGGGCCTGCAAACGCTGGTGGGAAGGGGGGCAGGGATGGGTGGGGGGAGCTGGGCCAGATGTTCTTGGAATGGGACACGGGGGGGGGGGGTGGTAGATGAACACTGGAATTTGAAGGGGGACATTCCCACGTGTCTTGTGCTCTGGGTGGAAAACGGGCTGTTTTTCATGGTGGGGTAGGGGCTCTCCCTGTCTTGCCAAGCTCATGTGAAAGAGGTGCCTCACCCTGCCCACGTCCCCACACTGTCCAAGGCCATTAACTTCCGCCTCCCCAGTGTCCGGCTTTGAGATGTCCCCCTTCTAGGGGAGTCCTGTGGGGTGACAATGGGGACATGCAATGCCCCGCTGTACTTGCCCAGGATCCCCCACCTTTCTGCTGGTCCCCAGCGGTGCCCCCTCTCTGGCAGCCACCCCCCAGCCACTGCCCCAAGGCCCGGCATTGCCCAACGGCAAGGGGTGACCTTGTTCCCGCCGACAGGGCCGCTGGGCGCCTGCATGCGGGTTTAATATTTGCCTTTAAGAAAGTGGACTTTCCCCAGCCTGGGTAGACAGGCTTTTCCTGAAAATTCGCTTGGAGAGAACGAAAAGAGACCCCTGGCACCCCCGCGGCGTGGCGTGCAGCCCTGCACCCCGTTCTTCCCCGCGCGTTTCTCCTTTTCTTCCCCACTTCCTCTCCTCTTCTGTGTTACCCAAACAAAACTGCGTTCACCCTTGTTTGGTGCTGGCGAAGGCCCGAACGGTGCGCGCAAAGCTCCAGGGCGGTCCGGGGGTGGCCGCCGGGGGTGCTCCGGGCCCCCAAGCCAAGCCGGGGACTCGCCTGCCCCCGGTGGCGGCTCGGCCGCGGCTTCGCCTAGGCTCGCAGCTCGGAGGCGCGTGGGGCACAGCGGCGAGGGGGAGCCTGCGGACCTCCCCGGCGGGGACCGAGCAGGGAGCTGGGAGTCCCGGGAGCGCCCCGGGAGCCGTGTCCTGGCCTCCCTCGCGGCTCCTGGGTCTCTCCTTTCCACCCAGACGCCTGCTAGGCTCGGGCTGCCGCCACAGAGGCGCTCTCCGTGTGGAGAAGGCAAAAAAAAAAAAAAAAAGAAAAGAAAAAGAAAAAGAAAGAAAAACCCAGAAGAATTAAAAGCAGAATTTCAGCCGGCCGTGAGCGCCAGGGCGTTCTGCGCTACCTGCCCGCGCCGCCCGCGCTCGCGTTCCCCGGGGAGGGCGCCAGTGCTCCGCGCGCCCCAGCAAGGGTGGATCCCCGGCCGCGCCTTCCTTCCTTCCGCCGCCCGGGAAGCTTGAGCTCAACAATTAGCCCCTGACCCTCGGGGTCCTGGTCCACAGAACGGCTTCCCTGCTATCCCCGAACTGGGGCATTTTACTTTTTCCGGGATCCTCTAAATTTCAACATCGCTCCCCAAGTCTTCCAGATACGTTCAGCATTTCCACGGGTCACAAGAATTTTCCTGGACATTAATTTCCGGGGCCGTCAAAACACATCAGCCTGGCTGGCTTTTCCAGACTGCACTATGCGGCCTGTGGCCCCAGATTTCCTTTCTCCCAGGCTCTGGACAGTTTCATACACCCCTTCCTGATCCCACAGATTTACAGACCAGCAACCCAGGTTCCCTCATTTTAAAGACGAATCCCTTAGTCCGTGGCACTCTCACGCCGACCAATTTGCCTAGCCCCCCAGAATGTGGATAGTGCCTTTTCCACGCTTACGCATTGTTCCCAAAAGAGTGGAACTTCCCCCCATAATTCTGAATATTAACTCCAGGTCTCCTAAGCTTACCGTCTCCCCCACATTTCCACCCCATTCCGCATCCCCCTTCCCGTTCACCTCAGCACGGGACATTTGCTGCTTCCGAGTTCCGCAAATCTATTCACACTGAGCTGTGTTCCCTAAACTTTACAGGTTGAATCCCAAGTCCCCCATGCCACTGAGCAGGGCTGGAAGGCCAGAACCCTCAGAGTATTAAAATTGCTCCCATGCTTACCCCTAAATCCAGGCATTACACCCAGAGCCCACGGAATCCTTTTCTGCGCTCTGATGGCTGAGTTTCATAAAATGGAGAGCTTTCCTCAATGACCCCAAAACCTACTAAGAATGTGCGAGTACGAGTCACAAAGCTTTGGAGCGTTTACCTCTACGCTCTACACGGTTCCTGGCCATGAATCAGGTCCCTTAAGATGTAGAGACACTGCCACCCGGGTCCCTGGAGCACACTGGGCAGTTACCAGGAGGTGCTCAAGTGTGACCCAGCATTCTCCAGGGCCCCCCAGATCATACAGGGGAGTCTTCTGGCTCCCGCTGGGCTACACCAAGCACAAAAGGACCCCTTCCTTGGGCAGAGGCTTTCTTTCTGTGTGTTACGCCTGGCGTTGCTAATGGCCTCAGTTCCCAAACACTCTGAGCATTTTCTCTGCATCAAACATGTTGACTATTAAACAATTCTCTGGGTCCCAGGAGCTTCATGACAAGAATCTCGGTTTTCTAAAATTCAAGCACTGGTCGGAAACCACATAGCCGGGATCACACTGGACCCTTTTCCTGGTGCCCCACACTTGGATGTGTTGGGCACTGCCCTGAGGCCCTCCAGAAACATTCGGTGTTGCCCTTGGATCACAGGAAGGCACTGGTTTCTTGAGCTCCAAACAACCCACTGAGTCATCTCAAAGTTAAGCAATATTTCCTTCAGATACACTGCACCCTCCCTGTCTATCACAAAATCTGAAAATTCCTAAGTCCTAATGCCCAGAAACTCGGAATCCCCTTTCTCTAAAATGTACATATTGACACCCCAAGTCTCCAAGGACTCTGAGCAACTTCTCTAGATCTTTAGATTCAAAAACAATTTTCCTGGAGCCCCCAAATTGAGGTATTGTCTCCCAGCCTTCCAAAACAAATTGAGATTTTTTTCCTTCAAAAAACAATTGTGGTTTTTTGTTTTGTTTTGTTTTTGTTGGGTTTTTTTTTTTTTTTTTTGCCTTTTTTTGTTTTGAACACTGATTTATGAGTCTCCTGCCTTTATGGTCCCTGCCCTGTGTCCCCCTAAATTTAGAAAATGTTCCATGGACCCCCCCAAAGCACATTAAAGAATGTTCCTAACGACTAACCCGGTTCCCAGAAATTTAGACATCAAATCTCCACTGGGTAATTTCCATGGATCCCAAATGAAACGTATTTCGCTAGGCTTCCCCACTTGCAGACACTGTCCAGGAAAACACAATATTTTTCTTGTTTACCAAAAACAAACTATGGAAATCATTTAAAAATAACATAGAAAAAGAATACTGATTTTTTTTTTTTTTTTTTTTTTTTTTGCTTTCCCCAAATGTACTGATTACACTCCAGGTTCCCCCAAAATTCAGACAGTGCTTCCTCCGTCTCTGAAGGATATTAAAACCTTTCCCTGAAGCCACAGTAATTATGAAGGTTATTTTCACCCGGACGCTGCAGGCGCCCAGGCCACTAACTTGTATTCTTAACATGTGAAAATTAATCTCAGCTTCCCCCTAACACACCAAGAATGTGTTTGGATCCCCAAAATATGTCCCTTGCTTTCATCTGCCAGTTCCAGGCAATGCGCTTCTTAGGCAACTCCTACCAGTTGCATATGGAGAATTTTCTTTACCCCTCCTCACAGATCGGTCTGGGATTTCGTGGGTCCCCCAAGCCAGCTGGTCCTTATTTTAGACCCCTCTCTATGCTCCCAATCGCATGGAGCAATTTCCCTCATCCGCCAAACCTGTCATCTATTTTTTGGAGTCTCAGGTTTAGTCATGAATCACGGGTCTCAAATTATCGGAGTCCCGGGTTCCCCTCCTCCAGGACACCCATTCGCTAAGCCCCCAAGGCAGAGTTGCGTTTCCCAAAATTTGGGCATTGTTCCCGGCTCGCCAGCCGCCCACTACAGCTTCCCCAACCCCGCGCACAGCGGGCACTGGTTTCGGGCCTGTCTCCTACCAAGTCCCCAGAGCAACTCGGACTTGGGAAATTTCTCTCGTGTTCCCCAAACACACGTGGGTCGGCCGCGCGCCCCCAGGACGTGGGCAGGGCTTCCCCTTGTCCAGGAAAGCGACCGGGCATCGCCCCCAGTCTCCCCCAAATTTGGGCATTGTCTCCCGGTCTTCCAACGGACTGGGCGTTGCTCCCAGACACCGAGGACTGGCCCCGGGGTCTCGCTCACCTTCAGCAGCGTCCACCGCTCGCCGCAGAGCGTTCGATCGCCCGCTGCCTGGGCTCCCGGTGCGCCCGCCGACGCAGCCTCCAGCTTCTTGGTGAGCTCCCCGCCGCCTCTGCGCCCCTGCCTGGCTCCTGCCCTCATCCGCTGCTGTCCCGCCAGGGCTGGCGCTCTCTCGGGCTGCCGCCTGGGAGGCCGGCACGGGGCGCGGAACCCGGCTGCGGACTTGAGGCTTGGCGGCCCGCTCGCTCCGGCTGGGTGCCCCGAAATCCGCGCCACTTTTGTTTGCTCATTGCAAAGATCACACTTGTGGATCTGGAGGGGCCCAAAGTGGAGCGGGCAGGGCGCTGGGGCTAGCGACGCGGAGGAGAGGCGCTCCCGCCAGGCGGCAAAGTGCCTGTAGCCCGCGGGCCTAGGACTCCGCCGGGAGGCGCGCGCGGAACGCGGGCGAAGTGATTGATGGCGGAACGAGGGGGGCGATGGGGGCTGGGGGGCGCGAGTTTCTGCTGGCGGCCCCTTCCCCTTGGCCAGGCTTAGGCGGCGGGGTGCGGGATGTGGTGCGTGGTTTTGACTTCGTAAAAAATCACAGTGCTTTCTTACATCGTCCAAACTCTCCAGGAGATGGTCTCCCCAGACCCCCAAATTATCGCAGTGGTCCCCGAGACTAAACTCGCGTCTATGCCAGTCCAACGCTCTGAGGACGGGGTAACCATTATCCGGATATTTTGGGTGGGCCCCAGAGGCCAGCTGCTTAGACGCAACCCGGTGAGCTCCGCCATGCAGGTAGGATTTGAGCTGTGTTTCCCGCCCTGATCTCTCTCCTCTGGCGGCCACAGCCTCGGCGGGCTCCAAGCCTGGCCCAGATTGGGCCCAGCCCAGCTGGCCTTCCCGGTGTCCCGCACCTGGCCGGGGCTCCGGAGCTCCGGCGCGGCACCGGGGGGCGCTCGGGATCTGGCTGAGGCTTTAGGCGCCGCGTGGCCGGCTCCTCCTGCTGGGGCAGGTGGCGGATGCGCGCCCCACCCGAGCCCAGGGGCTCCCTCCGCGGCAACAACCAGCAGGGACCCCCCGACCCAGCCCCTAACCACCTGCCTCTGCAGTCAGACGCCGCGCACCCGCGGTGTAGTCTCCTGGCGGGGCGCTGGGAGCCGGCCTGCCACTGCCTGCCCGGAGACCCCAGCTCACGAGCACAGGCCACCCGGGCACCCTAGAAACTCGAGATGGGGCCCCCAATTCTCTAGAACGGGCATTCAGCATGGCCTTCGTGCTCGGCGGCTCCCTGCCCCCCACCCAGCTTTCCCCCCCGCGCCCCCCTCCGCCCCCGCGATCGCCGCCCCCCGGTGGCCCCAGGGCCCCCAGCCCACACCCCCCGCCCCGCGCTTGGCTCGGGTTGCGGGGGCGGGCCAGAGGCGGGGCGAGGGCTCCGCGGGCGCCCATTGGCGCGGGCGCAAGGCCAGCGGGGCTCGCGCGGGCGCTGGGCCGCGGGCTGGCGCGACTATAAGAGCCGGGCGTGGGCGCCCGCAGTTCGCCTGCTCTCCGGCGGAGCTGCGTGAGGCCCGGTCGGCCCCGGCCCCCCCTTCCGGCCGCCCCCGCCTACCGGCCCACGCCCGCCCCGCGCGGCCCACCAGCGCCTCCACCGGGCAGGCGGCCCCGCGTCGACGTCGCCCGCTGCCTCGCTGCTGACTCCAGTCCCGGGCGCCGTCCGCGGGGTCGCGCTCCGCCGGGCCTGCGGATTCCCCGCCGCCTCCTCTTTATCTACCTCAACCCCCCATCCCCGCTTCGCCCGAGGAGGCGGTTCCCCCCGCAGGCAGTCCGGCTCGCAGGCCGCCGGCGTTGTCACCCCCCGCGCTCCCCCCCCAGCCCTCCCCCCGGCGCGCAGCCTCGGACCGCTCCCCTTCTACGCTGCATCCCGAGCGGCCCGGGCGCCGCCACCGCCTGTCCCCCCCGGAGGCCCGGGCTTGCGACGGCTGAGGGCTCCGTCGCCCCAAACCGAGCTGGGTGCCCGCGGCCCGGGTGCAGCCTCCACTCCGCCCCGCAGTCACCTCCGCCCCCGGCCCCTAGACGTGGCGCCCTTCCCTTGGCTTCTCTGTGCTCCCCGCGCCCCTCTTGGCATCTGGCCCCGGCCCCGCTCTTTCTCCCGCAGCCTTCCCTTTGCTCCCTCCCGTCCCCCCCAGCTCCCAGCCTCAGACTCCCTCCCCGCCTCACGCCCGCCCTCTCGCCTTCGCAGAACCAAAGTGGATTAATTACACGCTTTCTGTTTCTCTCCGTGCTGTTCTCTCCCGCTGTGAGCCTGCCCGCCTCTCGCTGTCCTCTCTCCCTCTCGCCCTCTCTTCGGCCCCCCCCTTTCACGTTCACTCTGTCTCTCCCACTATCTCTGCCCCCCTCTATCCTTGATACAACAGCTGACCTCATTTCCCGATACCTTTTCCCCCCCTAAAAGTACAACATCTGGCCCGCCCCAGCCCGAAGACAGCCCGTCCTCCCTAGACGATCAGACGAATTCCTCCCCCCCAAAAAAAAGCCATCCCCCCGCTCTGCCCCGTCGCACATTCGGCCTCCGCGACTCGGCCAGAGCGGCGCTGGCAGAGGAGTGTCCGGCAGGAGGGCCAACGCCCGCTGTTCGGTTTGCGACACGCAGCAGGGAGGTGGGCGGCATTGTCGCCGGCTTCCAGGTAAGCGGCGTGCGGGCCGGGGCTGGGGCCGGGGCGGCGCGGGCTGCGCCGGACGCCTGGCCCTTCCTCCGCCTGCTCGCGGCCGGGCCTGCGGGGTTCCGTGGGGCGGCTGAGCCCGGGGTTGTGGGGGGGAGGAGGAGGAGGAGGAGGAGGACAGGCAGCTGCGGGTCCATTCCCTGCACGGAGTTCCCTGCGCGCCCACCCTGGCGGCGGGGCTGGGGGTGGGGTGGGGGCGTCGGGAAGGGCCGAGGGAGGTGTGCGCTGTCTGCAAGGGCCACTTCCTGGTCAGTCTGTGGGTGTCGGGGGTGCAGCGGAACATGTGTGATTCGTGCCTGGCGGGCCCTGGCCTCCCTCTGGGGTGCTGGGTAATGAGGAGGGGCGCGGAGCCGCAGAAGCCCACCCTGGTATGTTGACGCGGTGCCAGCAAGACCGCGAGAGGAAGACGGGGTGGGCGGGGCCAGGATGGAGAGGGGCCGAGCTGGCAGGAGACGCCACATTCGCGATATCTCCCCCCCACACCCCCTCTTGCTCTGTCCGAAACGTTTCCAAAACGGAGTCCGGGAGAGGGGGAGAGGGGTGCTGGTGTGAGGCCAGGAAGGGCAGACTTCAACCCAAAGAGGGCTCCTGCCCAGTGGGCAGCGTGGAAGTGTCCATACAAGGAGGTGGGAAGACCCCCCCCCCCGTGCAGAGCGGGGCTGGGGGTGCAAGATGGGGAGCTCGTGGCACTTTGCGAAGGGATGGTCCAGAGCTCGGAGTTGGGGGGTGCAGGAGAGAAGAGACTGGCTGGGAGGAGGGAGGGGGCGGGAGCAAAGCCGCGGGGGAGTGGTCAGCAGGGAGAGGGGTGGGGGGGTAGGGTGGAGCCCGGGCTGGGCGGAGCCCGGCTCAGGGATAAAAGCCGAGGCACTGACCAGCCTGTAGACTGGACATTGGCTTCTCCTGTGAGAGAGACTTCCAGCCTCCTCCTCCCTCTCTTCCTTCTCCTCCTCCAGCCCCAGCGAGCCTCCTGCTGAGCTGTAGGTAACCAGGGCTGTGGAGTGAGGACCCCCGCTGCCATCCCACTCCAGCCTGAGGCAGGGCAGCAGGGGGCACGGCCCACGTCTGGGCATCGGGCCCTGCAGCCGCCCGCCCGCCCGCCCGCCCGCCTGCTGCCTCTCCAACAGCACCACCCCCCCTCTCTCTGCCTCTGCTCCTGCCCCTACCTGCTCTCTGCTTCCTCACCTGCTCCTTCCCTTTCCCTCCTTCCCTTAGGCCTCTTCCCCGCCCAGCTCGGGGCTTTTCCTGGGTCCTCACCAGCTCCGCATCTCCGCGCGCTTCTTGTCCCCGTCCCGCTTTTCTGAGCCCGCACCCTGAGCCAGACCTCCAGGTTCAGAGTGGTGGGGTTGGCACCGGATCGCGGCGAGGGCTCGCGTGGCCAGCTGGTGGGGTGTGCTCTTGGAATTTGGAAGGGGCTGGCAGAGGGGGCGGCGAGGGGACTGGCTGCGGCCCAGTCAAGGAGATGATCGAGGAGGCTTTCAGATCCTCGGCGGGGCCACCCACTGCTCTATAGAGAGGCCACACAAAGCGGGGCTTTGGTCCCACAATTTATTGCATCAAAAAGTCTCCTGGGTCTGTGGAGGGAAGGCTGGGGCTGCCGCCCGGAGGGCTGCACCGAACGCAGGGGCAAGAGCAGCTTGCTGCAGTCACCCCGGCCTCCCACCCCGAGCTGTGCAGGGGGTGTGTCTGAAGATTGGCCTCTCCTTCCAGATTGCAGTCGGGGATCCTGGGGTCTGATGTCCCAGGTGGTCTGAGCTGGTCTCTCCAGCTCCAGCCAGGAGAGTTTGGGAGTGCAAATGGGGAGATTTTCTAGAGGTCCCTGGCCTCAGTGCTTGGACTTGAGGTCTGCAAGGGAGGCTCTGGGCTTGGGTGTGTGTTTGGGGTACCTCAGGCAGACTGGAGTTGGAGAACTGGGTGACTGGGAAAACAAGATCCCTACGAGCATGGGTAGGGGGGTAGTGCTAAGCATTTGAGTCCTTGACCCAGGCCTGGCTCAGCTGCAGACTGGAAAGGTGGAAATGCTGGGGGAGGGGGTGGGGCCTGCTGCGTTGAGGGGGATGGTCCGCCTGGACACCCCTGTTCAGCTGGGGGTGGTGGGGAGGAATCAGACTGGTCCTCCTGGAGGCACAGGCTCTGTAGGGGCTGGGGCTGAGGCCTGCGAAGTGGTGATGTGCCCCTGGCTGGCCCTGCCCCCATGGTGTCATAGCACAGAGGCCAGGTCGGGGGTCCAGCTTGGCCCCTACAGCTGTGGATGTCGCTGAGCTCCTGCAATAATGACCGTGGAGATGTTCACCCCTCGCGTCCAATTACTAGTGCCTCTCACAAATCGAAGCGGGCGGCCTTTCTGTATGTTCCAGACGCACCGCCCTCCACGTGGCCAGTGCCCTCACCTTGGCATCATGGCCTGTGTGTTACTTTTGTAATAAAAATAATGTTTCTAGGAAATCCATGCTTTAAATGTTCAATGGAATTTCTAGGTTGGCTGAGCGCCCCTGGTTCGGGAGGGGCACCTCTGGCCTGGGGCTTGGCCCAGCTGCCCCGCTCATGCAGCTTCTCTCCCGCCCGCAGGTACCAATGGGATTCCCAATGGGGAAGTCGATGCTGGTGCTTCTCACCTTCTTGGCCTTCGCCTCGTGCTGCATTGCTGCTTACCGCCCCAGGGAGACCTTGTGTGGCGGGGAGCTGGTGGACACCCTCCAGTTCGTCTGTGGGGACCGCGGCTTCTATTTCAGTAAGTGGTAGGGGGGTTCCTTAAACGTGCTCAGGCCCCTAGCCTCAAGCCAAGGTGAGCACACTCCAATGTCAGCGGCTCGGCCCCTTGCCGTGAGACTTTGACCTTCCAGCCGAATTTCCGAGCGCCCGCACCCGCTGACCTTCCCATCACATGCTCCTGTGAAGGGTGGGCCAGAGGGGGCACTCACGGGGGTCGCCCTTGGCATCAGAATTCCTGATGGGAGCCAGGAGGCTCCGGTGCCGCGGGGCAGGGCTTCAGGCTCTGGAGGAAGAGCCTGCCTTTCTTCCTACACCTTTTGGATATTTTGACAAGGGACGTGTGTTCAATGAGTGATCAGAATTAAGATAAAGTCACTTAAAGAATTAAACCCAATAAAGCCAGTGCAGCTGGCAGGTGGCAGGGCTGAGCATGCATGCGCCTCCTGACCGTGCATGCAGCGTGGGGGGTGCCCGCCTGCTGACGGCAAGACACTTCGGCCTTTCTTCCTGTTTCTCTCTCCGTCTTCCAGCCTGGGGGCTGGCAGGTGGGTGCACAGCTTGCTGTCCTTGAGACCCCACCCTCAGAGGGGGGGCTGGGTGGATGCAGAGGCAGGCATGGTGCCTGGGCATGCCTGACGGGGTGGCGGGGGACAGTGCCTCACTGGCTGGGGCTGCACGGCTTATCCTACCTGACACTCACCCGGAGTGACATCTTCACCACCTCTACTTACGCACTCTGTGAAATGGGCTCACAGGATACAAATGTACTTCAAAACTTTTCTCTGAAAAGTGTTTCTGCTGCTTGACCCTGGAAGCCCCCGCCCGCCCTGGCCTCTCCTGTGCCCCCTCTGTCTCCTGCCCCATTTGGGGGTAGGAAGTGGCACTGCAGGGCCTGGTGCCAGCCAGTCTTGCCCAGGGAGAAGCTTCCCTGTACCAGGCTTTCCTGAGAGGAGGGGAGGGCCGAGCCCCCACTTGGGGGACCCCGTGATGGGGCTCCTGCTCCCTCCTCTGGCTGATGGCACCTGCCCTTTGGCACCCCAAGGTGGAGCCCCAGCAACTCACCCCTTCCAGCTAGCTGAGCCTTGCTGTGGGGGAGAGGGGGAAGACGGGAGGAAAGAAGGGAGTGGTTCCATCGCGCCTCCTCACTCCTCTCCTCCCGTCTTCTTCTCTCCTGCCCTGTCTCCCTGTCTCAGCAGCCGCAGGGCGGTGTGGGCCCCTCCAGCCTCCTGGGTGGTGCCAAGCCAGAGTCCAAGCTCAGGGACAGCAGTCCCCTCCTGTGGGGTCCCCTGAACTGGGCTCACACCTCACACCTTTCCCTAACCACCCTCAGTGTGGGCCTTTGGTCCTGGTGGGGTCCATCTGGCCATGGGACTGAGAGCTTGTGCCCATTGTTCATCTGAGGGAGGAGGCAGCAGAGGCCAGGGGCTGGTCTGGATCCCGCTCACCTCCCTCCCACCTCTCTTCTTTCTGGGACACCTCTGCCTGCCAGCTCTGGCTTCCATCCCCTGACCTGAAGAGTGGCCTGGGGACAGGGCTGTTTCCTCCTCCTCCAGCCCTCCCGGGACACTGGGGCAGTGCGGGGCAGGACAGTGGGGTGCTAACGCCCTCTCTCTGTGCTGTGGACTTCCAGGCAGGCCCGCAAGCCGTGTGAGCCGTCGCAGCCGTGGCATCGTCGAGGAGTGCTGCTTCCGCAGCTGCGACCTGGCCCTCCTGGAGACCTACTGTGCCACCCCCGCCAAGTCCGAGAGGGACGTGTCGACCTCTCCGACCGTGCTTCCGGTGAGGGTTCTGGGCCCCTTCCTCTCTCCCTAAAGAGAGAGAAACAGGGCTTTGGGCTCCCGGTGTTTCCTGTGGCCACTGGGACCTCTTAGCCGGGGACGAGGACCCATGACTTCTTTGCTTGCTGTGTTGCTGGGTAGTTGGCCCCTCCCGTCCCCCTGCCCCTGGACAATAGCCAGTGCAGTCACAGGGGTGAGGGGTGGGCTGTCAGATCAGATGGGTGGCTCAAGCGGTGGAGTGGCAAGTAGGCACCTGCTGACCAGACCCTTCCTCTCCCAGGACAACTTCCCCAGATACCCCGTGGGCAAGATCTTCCAATACGACACCTGGAAGCAGTCCACCCAACGCCTGCGCAGGACTCTGCCTGCCCTCCTGCGCAACCGCCGGGGTCGCGTTCTCACCAAGGAGCTCGAGCTGTTCAGGGAGGCCAAGCGTCACCGTCCCCTGACTGCTCTGTCCACCCAAGACCCCGCCCACGGGGGCACCCCCCCAGAGATGTCCAGCAATGAGAACTGAGAAAAACTGCCTGCCACAAGTCTGCAGCCCAGCACCACCACCTTCCTCCTGACCACGGACGTTCCATCAGGTTCCATCGCTAAATCTCTCGGTTCCACTTCCCCCTGGGGCTTCTCCTGACCCCAGCCCCCATGCCCCGTCTCCCCAAAAACAGGCTACTCTCCTCTGCCCCCTCCATCGGGCTGAGGAAACAGCAACATCTTCAAAAATGTACAAAATCGATTGGCTTTAAACATTCTCTATGCCCCCATCAAATTATCCCCACACATAAAAAATCACATCAAACTAACCCCTTCCCCCTACACACAACGGCCCTCTTAAAACTAATTGGCTTTATAGAAACACCAGCAAAGCTCAGAAATTGGCTTTAAAAAAAACCCAACAACCAAAAAATCAATTGGCTAAAAAAAAAAAAAAAAAAGAAAAAGAAAATTGGCTTGGAAACAGCTGGCAAGACAAAGGAACTTGGCCAGATCCCCCTTCTCCTCCGAGGACTCGGAGTCAGATCGGACTCGAGTCCCTGCACCAGCAAAGAGAAAAGAGCGGCCCCAGAAATCACAGGTGGGCATGTCGCTGTTACCACCATCTCCCTTCTAATCGGGCCACCCCAGTGCAGGGACAGCCCAGCTAGCCCTCACTCCTTTTCCATCACCCAACATCACGGAGCAGCCAGAGGGACCCAGTGAGACCACAGGAGGGGAGCACAGAGCATGAAAACCCAAATCCACACAATTTAATTGGCCCAACCCCCACCCCAAATTTCCATCTCAATTCCCATCCTAAAAAGCACTCACACCTTATGCATCCCTGCAGCCACACGCACACAGCACACAAACACACACATGCACACACACACGCTCACACACGAACACAGCACGCACATGAACACACACATGCACACACAAGCACCCACCTGCACACACACCTTAGCTTTTATGCGCTCACATGCACACGCCTGTGCACACACCTTAGCTTTTATGTGCTCACATGCACACACCTGCACACACACCTTAGCTTTTATGTGCTCATATACACAGGCCTGCATACACACCTTAGCTTTTATGCGCTCACATGCACACACACACATGCACACACACCTTAGCTTTTATGCGCTCACATGCACACACAGACATGCACACACACCTTAGCTTTTACACGCTCTCATGCACACATCTGCACACACACCTTAGCTTTTATGCGCTCACATGCACACACATGCACACACACCTCAGCTTTTATGTGCTCTCATGCACACACCTGCACACACACCTTAGCTTTTATGCACTCACATGCACACACCTTAGCTTTTATGCGCTCACATGCACACACACACCTGCACACACACCTTAGCTTTTATGCGCTCACATACACACACACACCTGCACACACCTTAGCTTTTATGCGCTCACATGCACACACACACATGCACACACACCTTAGCTTTTATGCGCTCTCATGCACACACCTGCACACACACCTTAGCTTTTATGCGCTCACATGCACACGTCTGCACTCACACCTTAGCTTTTATGCGCTCACATGCACACACACATGCGCACACACATGCACACACACCTTAGCTTTTATGCACTCACATGTACACGTCTGCACACACACCTTAGCTTTTATGCGCTCACATGCACACACACGCGCACACACATGCACACACACCTTAGCTTTTATGCGCTCACATGCACACACACATGCGCACACACACATGCACACACACCTTAGCTTTTATGCGCTCACCTGCACACACACATGCACACATACACATGCACACACACCTTAGCTTTTATGTGCTCACATGCACACGTCTGCACACACACCTTAGCTTTTATGTGCTCACATGCACACACATGCACACACACGCACCCACCTGCGCACACACATGCACACACACACGCACCCCCGTACAATTGGATGAAATCAATAAGAATATCTAAGCAACTCTAATGTCTGTCCAGATCAGGCCAAAGTCCATCTAAGATTCTCCAAGCTGTTTTCCTGCTCTGAGCCCCCCCTCCCGTCCCCATCTCCACTGCCCCTCAGCCCGGTCTGTGCCCTGCCTCTCAGAGGAGAGGGCTCAGATGGCGGGGCCTGAGTGCCGGCCGGCGGTGGTTTGGGATGCCCCCATCGGGTGGAAGGGGTGTGTTCCAGGCCGAATTCCATCTTGCCACCATGAGAGAGGTGCCCTTGCGAGGCTGGCCTCCTTGGCGCCTGTCCCCAGAGTCCCTGCAGTGTGAGCCACGATGCTCCCCATCCCCCACCCACCCCGATACACCTTCCTTATTGTGTGTCGACACAGCCAGAGTGAGAAGAGTGGCCACAGTGGAGATGAAGGTAGCCCAGTAGACATGCCCTCTTGCCCCCACGAGTAGCCTGACTCCCTCGTGTGCTCCTGGAAGAAAGATCTTGGGGTCCTCCCCACCGGAACACACCTAGGGATCATCTTTGCCTGTCTCCTGGGAGCCCTCCAGAAATGTGGGGTCCCCAGGGGCCGGGCACTGATGCGGGGAGTGGGAAGTCTGGCGGTTGGCGGGGCGGGTGGGGGGCAGTGGGGGCTGGGTGGGGGGAGCTCTGGGGTAGGAAGTGGTCCCGAGAGATTTTGGCCAGAAAAGTCAGGAGGAGCGACAGCAGACTTGCAGAATTAGAGAAATTAGGACCCCCCCAAATTTCACGTCAATTGATCTATTTCCCCTCTTTATTTCTTGGGGCATTTTTCCTTTTTTTTTTTTTTTGTTTTTTTTTTTGGACCCCCTCCTTAGCTTTTATGCGCTCAGAAACCAAATTAAACCCCCTCCCTATGTAACAGGGGGGCAGTGACCAAAGCCAGAACGTACGAAGCCAGCCTGAAGACCACCACGTCCTGCCCCCCGCCATTTATCGCCCTGATTTGATTTTTGTATCTTTCCCTGTTGCTTGTGTTGGGTTGAGGGTGGAGCCTCTGGGGGGGTGCCAGCCACTGCGCCCCCTCGGAGAAGTCAAAGGGGAGTGGAGAAGGCCGCTGCCTGGCCTGGCCTCAGGGGACAGTGGCTGGTCCCCGGAGGTCCTGAGGGCGGAGGGGGGGGTGGGGCAGGGTCTCCTCAGGTGTCAGGAGGGTGCTCGGAGGCCACAGGAGGGGGCTCCCGGTTGGCCTGAGGCCGGCTGGGGGGGAAGGGGCTGCAGGTGTGTGAACAGAGGACTCCATCAGGCTGGGGCAGGGTGGCCGCCTTCCGCACACTTGAGGAGCCCTCCCCTCCCCTTCGGTGACATCTTGCCCGCCCCTCAGCACCCTGCCTTGTGTCCAGGAGGTCCGAAGCTCTGTGGGACCTCATGGGGGCAAGGCAGGGTGAGGTCGGGGAGTAGGGAGGTCAGACAGGTCTAGCCCGCAGAGCAGGAGAGCTGCCAGGTCCCGCCATCGACCAGGTTGCTTGGGCCCCGGAGCCCATGGGTCTGGCAGTGCTGCAGCAGCCACCACCTCGGCGCCTAGGGCTGTGGCAGGGACTCGGCGGCTGGGAGGTTTACCTCGCCCCCACTTGTGCCCCCAGCTCAGCCCCCCTTCACGCAGCCCGACTAGCAGTCTAGAGGCCCAAGACTTCTGGGTCCCAGTGACGGGGCTGGCATGGCCCTGGGGGTCGTCCATGCCAGCCCGCCCCGGGCGCAGAGGATCCCTCGGCAAGCGCCCTGAGAGCGGGCCATTTGGAACATTGGGCAGAAACCAAAAAGCCAAATTGTCACAATTGTAGAACCCACATTGGCCTGAGATCCAAAACACTCCGAGGCACCCCAAATTACCTGCCCGCTCGTCGGGACGCCCACTCACCCAGTGTTAAGTTCTGCCTCGACGGGTGGGTGCTCCTGGGGGCCTTGCCGACCAGCCCCTCGCGTCCCCATGTTTGCGGCTCTCCCCCAGGCCACTCACCATCCTGGCCCGGGCCGCCTGTCTGATCTCCACGCCTGTTGTGGCTTTCCATCTCGTCTCCTCCCCGTGTCCCCAATGTCTTCAGCGGGGGCCCCCTCTTGGGTCCCCTCCTCTGCCATCACCTGAAGACCCCCACGCCAAACACTGAATGTCACCTTGCCTGCCGCCTCAGTCCACCCGGCGGCCCGTGTTTGACTCAACTCAGCGCCTTAACGCGAATATTTCTGGCAAAATCCAGTTTTGGGTTTTGTCTTTAACCTGTAACGCTTGCAATCCCAATAAAAAGCATTTAAAATTATGATCTTGTGAGTGTTCCACTCTTTAACCTGGGTAGCAGATTGCGGGAGGGAGGGATGGAGGGACAAAAGGAGGGAGAGAGGGAGAGGGGAGGAAAGGGAAGACCTAAGGGATGTGGGCGCCTCCCTCCATCCCCTGACCATGCACATGGAGAAATGAAGGCAGCTGGAAGCTGGACTCTCAGACGCTTGGCTGTGCACCCAAAGCCCGGGGGTCTAGGACAGTTTTAGGCACCAAGTTCTCACAGATGGGGTTGCCAGGAGGGGTAGGAGCCTAAGGGGCTTTTCCAAAGGAAATGCAAAGTACCATCACTACCAATTCCAGGGAGTGCCTCCCCAACCTTGGAGGACTGGGGCTGGGCAATGTCTAGAAGGTTCTGGAAACCACCATAGCTATTGCTGGAGATGGGGGCTCAGGGCCACTCCCACTCAGGGACTCAGCCCCCTCCCAAGATGGAGGCTGCACGGATGTCCTTGGTACCACTGCCTCCCACTGGGATTCAGCCCTGTGCCCAGCTGTTCCAAGGGTGTTGGCCTCTGGCTTTCAGGGTCCCTGGGTGTGGGAGGAGGGGTAGGCTGGGCTGCTGGGAGCCTCCTCTCCAGCCCTCTCCAGGAACTTCCCAGCAGCCTTGGGCAGTGGATCTGCCTGCTCCCACCCCACTGTGGGGATGGAGGGGCAGGGGCGCCACAGATGGAGCCTGGAGGTGCACCCAGAGCCTTGCAGCCTTCAGTGCTAGGTGGGCAGTGGGGAGTGGCTTGACTGGGTTGGGGGCATACTTGCTCCCTGGCCTCTGGGGATTCTGCCTCTGGTCAAACCCTGTCTCTTGATGGCTGCCTCTGTCCCTAGCATTTCTCCTGTGCCAGGCACTGGGGAGTGCTGGGCTGTCACCAAGGCCTCGAGCCTGGGGGACATCAACAAGGGTGTGTCACTGCCCACACCGTCTGAGAGCCACTCCAAGGGAAGGGAGAGCATGAGCGGTGGTTTGGGGCGTTGCCTGGAGGAGGTGGGATTAGCCTTGAAGATGAGGAGGGCTGGGGGTTGGAGAAGAGCAGATTGGATGTGGGGGACACCGTGGCCTTCCTGGGATGGTCCCTGGCTCTGTGCCTCAGTGCTAGGGCTAAGTTGGATAGTCCAGGGCTCAGTGCTATGGCTCAGCTGTAGGGTCTGGGGCCCAGGTGGAATTGCTGACCCCCAGAGGGTCAGGGCTGCTCTGAGGTCCTGCTGCAGGTGTAGAGGGAGGCCTAGTCCTGTCCACCTTCCTGAGGCCAGATCGAGTTTCTTTCCCTGCAGGCCCAGGCAACCCTGCCCCATGCCCCTCTCCCAGCCCTGCAGCCCCTCCTACCCCACCCCTGCCTACGCCCATGCAGAACCGGGCTCATGGTCTCCCTTTCTCTCTAGGTCTGGTTCAGGGCCCAGCCTCCAGCCTGGTGAGCCTGGGCCCTCCTGCTTTTGCCCACCCTGGCCCCAGGTCACTTCAACATTGTCTCTCTCTGCACCTGAGCCCCCTCAGCCACTCCTGCCCATGCCCAGGAGCTTCCCTGCAACTTCCTTACTTTCGCTTGCAGCCTGGCTGCCCCCTGCTACCCCAAAACCCTTGTGACCTCCCCTGACTTCTCTGCAGAACTAAGCAGAACCACTCACCCCAGTTCTCCTGGATTTGGCCTGGTCTCTCGTCACCCACTCAGGGCTGCCCAGCCTTCATCCTACTTCACTGGGCCTGGCCTCATTCCAGGGGTTCTGAGACCATGCAGGGCCCTCTCCTCCCCTCTCCCTGCTTTGCGCTTTTCCAGTTCATCCTGACAGCTTCAACTCTCCATCCATCCATCCATCCATCCATCCATCCATCCATCCATCCACTCATCCATCCACCCATCCACCCATCCACTCATCCACCCATCCATCCACCCATCCACCCATCCATCCACTCATCCATCCACCCATCCATCCACCCATCCACCCATCCATCCACTCATTCATCCACCCATCCATCCAACCATCCATCCACCCATCCATCCATCCATCCATCCACCTGTCCACCCATCCACCCATCTATCCACCCATCCATCCACCCATCCACCCATCCATCCACTCATCCATCCACCCATCCATCCAACCATCCATCCACCCATCCATCCATCCATCCATCCACCCATCCACTCATCCATCCACCCATCCTCTTGCCCACTCACCGACTCATCCATCCACTAGTCTATCTACCCACCTAATCATCCACTCACCATCTACCCAATCACCTATTTATCCATCCCATCCACCCACTTACCACTCACCCACTCACCCAGTCACTCAGCTATTCATCCATCCACCCACCCATCCACGTATTCATCCATCCCATCCACAAACATCTCCACCTACTACTCACCCATTCATCCATCCATCCATTCACCCCTCTTTCCACCCACTCACTCATCCATCTATTCATCCATCCTCCACCCACTTACCCACTCAATCACCCACTCACCCACTCACACATTTATTCATCCACCCAACCATCCACCCACCCAACCATCCACTCACCTAACCATGCACTCACCCATCTGTCCACCTATTCATCCGTCTCATTCACCCACTCACCCACTTACCCACTCACTCACCCACTCATCCATTCACACATCTATTCATCCACCCAACCATCCATCCACACAACCATCCACTCACCCATCCGTCCACCTATTCATCCATCCCCTCTACCCACTCATACACTTACCCACTCACTCACCCACTCATCCATCCATCCACTCACCCTCCAATCTACCCACTCACTCATCTATCTATTCATCCATCCCATTCACCCACTCACCCACTTGCCTCTCACTCATCCACTCATCCATCCATTCACTCACCTCTTCATCCACCCACCCACTCATCTACTCATCCATCTCATCACCCACTCACCCACTAACTTCTCACCCACTTATTCATTTACTCACTCACCCACTTACCCACTCCCTCACCTGCTCACCCATTCACTCATCTATTCAACCATTCCATCCACCCACTTACCACTCACTCACCCACTCATCCATCCATCCACTCACCCCTCCTTCCACCCACTCACTCATCCATCTATTCATCCATCCTCCACCCACTCACCCGCTTACCCACTCAATCACCCACTCACCCGCTTACCCACTCAATCACCCACTCACCCATTCACACATCTATTCACCCACCCACCCAATATCCACTCACCCACCCATCTACCTATTTATTCATTCCATCTCCAAACACCCCCACCTACTACTCACCCACTCACCCATCCATCCACTCACCCCTCCATCCACCCACCCACCCACCCACTCATCCACCTGTTCATCCATCCCATCCACAAACACCCCCACCTACTACTCACCCACTCATTCATCCATCCACTCACCCTCCACCCACCTACTCATCCACCTGTTCATCCATCCCATCCACAAACATCCCCACCTACTACTCACCCACATCCATCCATCCACTCACCCCCATCCCCACTCATCTATTCATCCATCCCAGCTACCCACTCATCCATTTACCTCTCACTCACCCACTCATCCATCCACCCACTCACTCATCTATTCATCTATCTCATCCACCCACTCACCCACTTACCCCTCATTCAGCCACTCATCCATCCATCCACTCACCCCTCCATCCACCCACCCACTCATCTATTTATTCATCCATCTTGTTCACCCGCTCACCCACTGACCCACTCACCACCCCCTCTTTCATCCATCCACTCACCCCTTCATCCACCCACCCCTTACCCATGTATCCAAACACTTGTACGGGCACTACCCACATGCAGGACTCTCAGGCGAAGAGATGAGCTCGGTGTCATGGAGGGAAGGGCAAAGGTGCTAGGTGCTCTTTTAAGCAGGATAGGCCTCATGGAGAAGTTGGCGTGAGGGCAGAGATGGAGTGTCAAGTGTCAGGAAAGAGCATTTCTCCTAGTGGGAATGAAAAATGAGTGGCCTGGGAGTGTTTGAAGTTGGGAGTTTGGGTGGGTGGGAGCTGCGGCAGGAGGAAGTGGGGGGCCTGTGTAGGAGCTGAGGTCAGAGCTGTAAGGGGGGCAGATGGCATAGGCTGCAGAGACCAGTGCATGTGTTCAACAGACACCATGGGCCCCCACTGGCCTGGGGTGAATGGCAGCCACCAGAAAGATCTATCCCGCCATGTGCGCTGACTCGGACCTACAGTCCCAGCTACTCAGAGGCTGAGGCAGAAGGATCACCTGAGCTCAGGAGTTCAAGGTTTCAGTAAGCTATGCCAGCACCTGTCACAGACACTGCAGTCCAGCCTGGGTCACAGAATGAGAGCCCCATGTCTCTCTAAAAAAGAAAAAAAAAAAAGATCTGTCTACACCCTGATCCCCTCGGACCCGTGAATGTGCTCTTGTATAGAAAAAGGGTGAGCAGGGGTGGTGGCTCACGCCTGTCATCCCAGCACTTTGGGAGGCTGAGGTGGGTGGATCATCTGAGCCCAGGAGTTTGAAACCAGCTTGAGCAAGATGGCAAAACACCATCTCTACCAAAAAACAAAACAAAAAAACCTAAAACAAAAATTAGCTGTCGTGGTGGTACATGCCTGTAGTCCCAGTTAGCTGGGAGGCTGAGGCAGGAGGATGGCTGGAGCCTAGAAGGTGACGGTTGCAGTGAGCTGAGATTGTGCCACGGCACTCCAGCCTGGGCAAGGGAGCAAGATCTCGTCTCAAAACAAGAAAAAGAGAAAAAGAAAAAGGGTCTCGGTAGGATCTTGCGATTTGATCATTTTGGGTTTGGGGCAGGCCTAAATCAAGTGACAGGTATCCTCGGAAAAGACACGAAGGGGAAGGGACACCTAAGGGCAAGGCCAGGCGACCCGAGAGGCAGAGATGGGACTGAGGCAGCCACACGCCAGGGAACGCAGGGGCCCCAGGAGCCGGACTGTGTGAGGAGGGATCCTCCCCTAGGGACTTTGGAGGGAGGGAGGCCTGGCAGACACCTTGGTTTGGGACTT